CCAGACTGAATCTTGGTTGGGGAAATCCAAGAAAAAAAATCACAGTGAGACATTTTTCCAGTTCAGATCAGCATAAGGAATCAGACAGAGAAGTCTGTGGACACTGGGGATAGGTCTGGTCAAAAGCATGCTGGTATATTTCAGGGCAGAGAAAGGCTATTTAACAGGCCAATGAGAAATTCCAGGCACAGAGGGGTCTAAACTTGTATAGAATGCAAGAACAGGTGTCAATGGGTAACTCTGTCACTCACTACCCAGTGCCAAGTCACAGATCCAGCATGGAATGAGGAGGACACAGGCACCTTGGTGTGGCATTCCAGGATAAGGAGAGTTATGGGCCCTAGGCTGTACATTGAGCTAAAATCAAGTGCAGAAGCAAGGACTAGCTATTTGATTCTGATCCCAGGAGCAGAGAAGCATCTCAGGTCCAATTTCTAGCCCAGTCTGAAGCCTGCAGAGGAATAACCAGAGCAAGAATCCCAGACCAAAGGGAAGCCTACAGTTCCGTCACTCCAAATTAGCAAAGCTTTCCAGCTGGCTGATAGGAACTTAGTCTAGCAACAGTCTATTGAAACTTGAAATAGGACAAGCCAATAGACCTGTTGCTGAGACACAAACCCAAGTCAGGAAATTGCAGAGCTCAGACCAGAGGGACAATAATCAAACTGTGACAGGATCAGAGCACTTAGGGAAACATCAAAAGATTTTAGGTCTCTAGCTTAAGCTATCCCTCTGATCTTGGAATAACAGGACTTTAGAGGACACAATCTCAGCCCAGACATTCCCTCCAGAAGTGTGCAGAACCTGGCCCTAACATAAAGTCTGAAGTTAGGAAGTAGGCTAAAAAAAGAAGCAAGCAAACAAACAAAAAGAATATCACCAAAAAAACTATTAACATGACAGGGATGTTCAAAATATAAACCTAGAAGAATAAAATGGCTCCAAATCATCTATAAACTGAGTCAAAGAAAAACATAGCTTGGGCACAAATCCAGCTAGAATTCTTGGAAGAGATGAAGCAAGAGTTTAAAAAAAATTTTTTTTAGAAATGAAATGAGGGCACTTAAAGCGGGAAAACGGAAAAGAAATGAGAGCTGTGGAAGAAAGAATTGGAAAGGAAATTAACAACTTGGTTTAAGAGGTATAAAACCTTGCCTGAGAAACAAATTCTTGGAAACTAGGATGGATGAATAGAAGCTAATTATTTTATGAAAGAACAATAAATAATTTTGAAAATAAAAAGAAAATGGAAAGTATCTCATAGTAAAAACAATTGACCTGGAAAATAGATTGAGGAGTGAAAATTTAAGGATCATTGGACTACTTGAAAGACATAACCAAAAAAAAGAGCCTAGATGTCATTTTAAGAAATTATAAAAGAAAACTGCCCAGATCTCTTAGAACCGGAAGACAAAGTAAAAATAGAAAGAATCCATTGATGCACTCAAAGAAAACCCAAAATGAAAACTACCAGAAATATTATAGTTAAAATTCAGAGCTTCCAATATATGTGTGTAAATATATAAATACATGTGTGTATGTGTGTGTATGTAGATAGATGGATTGATCGATTGATTGATTTCTGGCTGTTTGAAATATAAATATAAATAAATATGCATATATATGTATATATGTCAAGATCATACATGATTTAGCAGCCACCCTATAACAGAGCAGAGAGTTTGGAATATAATGTCCAAAAGACAAAGGATATAGACTTATGACCAAAAATAACTTACCCAGGAAATCTAAGTATATTCCTATGGGGGGAAATGTCCTTTACTGAAAAAGAAGACGTCCAAGCATTCCTGATGAAATGACCAGAGTATGTAGAAGTTCAAACATAAGAGTCAAGAGAAATATAGAAAGGTAAACATGAATGAATAATCATAAAGGATTAAACAAGTATCAGTTGCTTATATTCTAATATAAGGAGATCATACACGTGTCCCTTCTGAACCCTATTATCACCAGGAATCATAGAGGGAGTCTAATTAGGTAGAAGGCTGGAAAGTGGTTCTGTTATGATAATGTTCTTAAAAGAAGAATGGAAAGGAAAGGAGAAGAGGAATACATTAAGGGATAATAGGGAGAAGAATAATGGAATATATTATCTCACATAATAAAGGTACACAAGTAGAAATCTATACAAAGAAGTAGGAAGGGGTGGGGAGAACAGGCAATGCTTGAATCTCACTTTAGTCTGAATGATCAAAGAAAGAAAGATATTCATGCTCAAAGTTGTGTACAGAAATATATTTCACTCAACAGAAAAATAGGAAGGAAAGGGGAGGAGGGAGAAGGGGGAATTAGAGGGAGGACAGATTAAAGGAGAGATTAGTCCTAAGCAAAACAAACTAACTAAAGCTGTACAAAAAATATGTATACGTCTTTTTCTTCAGTGACAAAAAATTGGAAACTAAAAGGGGTATATATTAGGGAATGGCTGAATAAGTTATAATATATAAATATGATGGATTACTATTGTGCTGTAAAAAATGATGAAGGGGATGGTTTCAGAAAAGACATAGGAAGAATTATATGAAATGATAAAAAGTAAAATGAGTAAAACCGGGAGAACAATTTATACAACAATATTGTAAAGTCAAACATCTTTGAAATAGGAGCTCTGATTATCATAATGACCAACCACAATACCAGTGGACTGATGATGTTGAGCCATGTGACCCATCTCCTAATAAAAGGGTGAAAAATTCAGAATGTATAATTAGACTTTTTTTACATGGCTAATATGAAAATTTGTTTTACTTGACTATACATATTTGTAAAGGAGATTTTGTTTTTCTTTATTCCTCAATGGGGGTGAGGGGTGAGTGGGAGAGAGAAAAGGCAATTTTTTTCTTATTAAAAATAAAATTTAATGAGCTTTCTCCTTGAAATAAAGACCCCATTTTCTAAATACTGATATTCTACCAGTGTTCTTCTATGACTACATGTCATGAAACCCTACAGTTGCTAAAGACTTAAATCACTCAGAGGGCAATGGAGAGGTACGTGATAGGTATTTCAGTATGTCACATTTAAGAGTACTACAAAGAGTAATTGCAATAAAGGATGCTATCAAAGAGATGTATGACAGAAAAGGAAGATGGTATTCATAAGGTGAGAGTGAGGGATAACTGAAAGCCTATATACTACACTGTCAAAAGGATGCAAGGCAGGACCCTGGCATGTTGGGTGACCCCCTATCTGAATAGGAGTGGCACAGGGTGGGCAAGCATCATAGATGGATTGCTATCTGCATCACCGGAGGGAATATTCATACCAAATTCATTTGTACATTGGAGTTTCCTTTTTAGCTGGTATCCCTTGTTTTGGTTACTCCCATTATTCCTATTTGATAGTTATCTTTGACCTGATATGATAAGAGCATATTTATAAGTTAAATAGAAAATGAGTAATGATTTTACTGAGCTACCAAAAGAGGTTAAGTTTCCTTTTCAAACTCTCATTGCTTTTCAGCATTGGCAGTAGAACCAGAGTCCCAATTTCTAGGTCCTTCATGCTGTAGATTCATTCTAATTATTAAGAATATATTGAAAATAGTAGCTTTTCATGACAGCGGCTTTAAAGAGCTTTTTCACACTTTTTACACATAGTAAAACCTTTCATTATGTGTATGTAAGCCTTATTACAAATTGTCCAATTCAATGACTTCATTTCAAGAAATTTCTTTTGACATTGTAAAATAAACTAGAGAAGGAAATGACAAGCCACTCCAGTATCTTTGCCAAGAAACCCTCCTCCCCCAAAAAAGGGGGTTATGAAGAGTCAGACACAATTGAAATGACTGAATGACAACAAAAAAAGGACGGTGGTAAAGATATGCTGCATCATATTACCAACAATGATTTGTGGGTGAGAGGTGTCATCAAAGGCATGAAGGATGTATGCGACCAGAAAAGGACATGGTTCAGGCATGTAGCAACAGTGAATGATAACAGATGGAAGGCCTTAATGCAGTTCTGCTAATCATACAAACGTTAAAAGCTCCAGAGAAAGACCTATATCAAGTATGCTTGGTAGATCCCCAATGGAAAATTTATGGGAAGATATGGATAAAAGTCATACAAGATGAGTAGGTAGCATCAAGGTTTTGAACTGAACTAGTGGAGAGATTGTTGTTGTTTAATCATTTTCAGTTGTGTCCAACTCTTCATGACTTCATTTGGGGTTTTATTGGCAAAGATACTAGAGTGGTTTGTCATTTCCTTCTCCAGCTCATTTTACAGATGAGAAACTGAGGCAAACAGGGTTAAGTGACTTGCCTACGGTCACCCAGCTAGTAAGTGTCTGAGGTCAGATTTGAACTCAGGAAGATGAGTCTTTCTGACTTCAGGCCCAGCACTCTATTCACTGTGCCACCTAGATGCCCACAGTCGGGAGATTACCTACATCAACTGCATTGTAGATTTGTTGAAGCACTAAATCATAGCTTACAAAACACTTTCCTCACAACCTTCTAAAGTATAGGTATTATTATCCTTTACAGGTGAGGAAATTGAGGCTCAGGATGATTTGCCCATGGAAAAGGTAGAATCTGAACACAGAACTTCCAACTCCCAAATCTAGTGTTCTTTTCACCACAATGTGCTATCTCTTATAGCTCTTTTTAGACCAACTTAAAAACCTCAGACCTGGAATTATATTACTATAATTTGGTGCTGCCTAGGGTACACATTTTGGTAGGTAGCTAAACAGATGTGAACTGCTTCCATTTAACAAATAGGCAACTAGAGTCATGGTGACGTAGTGAAAAGAGCTCTTCTGGAGTAAAAGGACATGGATTCAAGTCATGCCTCTCCTACTTGCTACCTGTGTGGGCATGGGCAAGACACAACTTCTCTGGGCCTCAATTCTTCATTTATAAAATAAGAGGTTTGAGCCAGATGTACACAAAGATCCCTCTCTTTCAGCACCAGGATACAATAAACTGAAATAGATAATAATAAAAATGGCTAACATTTATGCCATACTTTTAGGTTTGCAAAGCACTTTACATACTTTATATTATTTGATCTTTACATGACTCTGTGAGGTAGGCACAACCATTATTCCCATTTTATAGATGAGGATAATGAAACTGAAAGAGGATAAGTGACTTGCCTAGGTCACACAGTAAGTGTTTGAGGCAGGATCTGAACTCACATCTTCCTGACTTCAGGTCTAGCTCTCTAGACACAATTCCAATCTAGTTTTCTATTGATGCTACCTGAGTATTGGAAGTTAAATAACTTTTCAGTCATGAATGTCTATCCACTGTGTACATTTTTTCCCTAGACACTATGGATAGACTCTTAAAAAAATGGAAGACTTGGTATCTGTCCTCAAAAGTTTACAGTTAATGGGGATATGGGCAACCATTCATCAAAAATTTATAGGTACACCTATTCCTGTCTAGGCATATGTTTGTCTACCTTGCATCACAAGGTGGGCAATAATAGCACCCCTGGCATACCTTCTGAGCACACCTATACAGACAGAAATGTATTTAAACATAATTTAAACATAATTCATTTAAACATAATAGTCATGAAGAAACAGTACCAAATAAAAGGTAATTTTCACTAAGAAAAGTTAGTCTGAAAGGGCTTCAGAATGCAAAAAGTAAATTTGGATATAATTTTGAAGAGAATAGGACCTAGTAAGAAATGGGAAGGTGATGTGAGCAGAAAGAATAGCACCAGTAGGGATATAGAGTGAGTTAAGTTTGGGAGACTTTTTAAAATACACGCCTTTACCCAACTTTTTTTCCCCCCCGACAGTAATTGTGTGACCATCAGCAAGTCAGTTAACCTGTCTGAGATAGTTTTCTTAGCTTTAAAATGGAGATAGGATCTCTAGTTACCTGCCTCACCTGGTTATGGGGCTTAAATGAGATCTTGTATGGAATGTGCTTTTTAACCTTTAAAAATTATATATGACACCTATTATTAATATTAATATATATCTCCAGGTGTGTATACCAGTCTCTTCATTTATGGTGGAGAGGAAGAAGGATTTATGCTATTCAGATGACTAGTATCTAGCACAGTGCCTTGTAGATAGTAATTACTTAATATGTATGGAGAAAGAAAGAAGAAAGAAAGAAAAGAAGGAAGGAAGGAAGAAGGAAGGAAGTAAAAGGAAAGAAAGAAGGAAAAAGGAAAAGAAAAAGAAAGAAGGAAAAAAGTAAAGAAAAAGAAAAAGGAAGGAAGGAAAGAGGGAAGGAAGGAGGGAAAAGAAGGAAAGGAGAGAGGGAAGGAAAGAAAAGAGGGAAAAAAGAAAGGAGGGAAGGAAGGAAGGAAGAAAGAAGAGGGAGGGAAGGAAAAAGGAAGGAAGGAAGGAAAGGAGGGATGCATGGAGGTACAAAGGGAAAGAGAGAGAAAGGGAGAGGGAGAGAAGGAAGGTTGCCATGGAATATAAAAGTCCGGTCTACCATTCCACTGACATGAGGCATTGGGAAATCATATGGCCAGTCTAGGGGGAGGAACAGTAATGGGTCTATAATTTATTCTCTTCTGTTTCATTCTCTTTCCCTTTGTTCTGTCTCCCAGTTTTTTGTGCTGACATTACCCTCCTGAGGTTTGTCTATGCCTGAAAAATGATGATAGGAGCATCCATAGAACATGTGCTAATACAACCAGCATCTGTAGGAAGCCAGGTCTAAAAAAGAACTTACTTGTTTCACACAATTCAATTCAATAATTATTTACTAAATGCCTATGGGCACTGCTATGAGAAACGTTCCTGGGCTAGTTACCTTGCCTCAAGCATTTTCACACACAGCCCTTCACGAACTTCCCTTCCCCTACCACACAGATCTCTTGAGTTCATTAATTGACCACAGAAATTCATGATTTGGACTTGAGCACGGCAGTTTGTTCTCCTCAACTCAGAACAACTAAGAAATCAGTCCTTTCTAGCTGACAATTGCTACAGGACAGACTCAGCATCTGTGACCCAGTTCTCCTTTATCCTGAGGCTGTGTACTCCACTCCCTAATCTTCCTACAATGATGAGCATAAGCTATTGCCACTATGACATGTTGCCCCACCCTACCTTGGATGACTGATAGTCCTCTTTCCCTCCGGGAGAGCCAATCAATCTCTGTCGTTCTACTCCTTTCCAAGATTGTGAACCATCCAAGGACTCCTATGGGTTCTAAAGCCTCTATAGGCTGCTAGAGGCTCCACAGGCTTCTGGATTCTCTTATGACTTTCTTAGGCTCTAAAGACTTCTAAAGCCTCTAGTCTCTTAGGACACTGAAGGCTTCTGAAAGCTCTAGAATCTGAGGGCTTCGGGGGTGGGGGTGGGGTTCTGAAAACTAAACATTTCTCATGGGCTCTCTGAAAGTTCCCATGGTCTTGCTTTAGATGGCTGAAAGCTGGTGAAGGCTCTGGGAGGTTTTGAGAGCTCTGAGTTTTTTTTAAGGTCCAAGTGGAAGGAGAGAGGGAGAGAAAGAGAGAGAGAGAGAAAGAGAGAGACACAGAGAGAGAGAGAGAGAGAGAGAGAGAGAGAGAGAGAGAGAGCATTTATGCATCCACAGGTGTGTCAGAAAGGGAAAAGGAAGGACAACAGAGAGGAAAGAAGGAAAAAGAATGAGAAGAAAGAAGAAAAAGAAAATTAAGAAAAAGTAGAAGGGAAAAATGAAAGGGAAAGGAAGATGAAGGAAGGAATAGAAAGGGAGAAAAGGACAATGACCAGTAGAAATAAATGAAAAGGGATCTTTAAAGTTAGGACTGATGATATCTGGCTTCACTCTGAGTGAACTGAGTGTGTGTGACTGAGGTTACCCAGGACAACAGAGATAGGGAAGGTCAACTCAGGCAACAGCAAACACAGTGTTAATTTCCTCCAGGCAGCCATGCTCACCGTTTCCATCTCTACCTGTCCAGGGCCTTAAAGAAGGCAAGTTAAGTAGAAAATAAATTGGGCACCTGATATTTTTTTTTAAAGTAACTTCCACCTTCTTTATTATCTGTTGTAACAGTCTATTGGAATTTATGTTAGTGAGAGACTCTGAATGGGTCTGCCAATGGGATAGATGCTTCAATTTTTCCAAGGGTTAGTAACTCTTGAGCGAAGTGAGGCATGAAAGGGGTAAAGCAGAAAATGATATTGGCTATTGTATGGGCCAGGAATCGTTAGGCCTGGGTTTTATCTTGGGTGAAGAACAATGGAACTGAATGACCAAGTTTTGTCCCCTGTCCATTAGTAAATGTTTGTATTCTTTCCTTCCCTCCCTCCTTCCTTCCTTCCTTCTTTCCTTCCTTCCTTCCTTCCTTCCTTCCTTCCTTCCTTCCTTCCTTCCTTCCTTCCTTCCTTCCTTCCTCCCTCCCTTCCTTCCTTCTTTCCTTCCTTCCCTCCCTCCCTCCTTCCTTCCTTCCTTCCTTCCTTC